CTGTTAGCACCCTTACCCCTGAAATTCTACCATATGGAGCGGAATTTTACCAAAGCTTCGATATTCACCTAGAGTGGCTGAAATCCACACGAAATAAACATTATCTATAGCATCAGTATCTATTTATTGATAAAACATTGTCTCTTTGAATGGTCCCAACCTGAAGGACAGCCTATTTCAATCTGTCTGAAATTGCTCCCCGTCGCTGGCTCCATGAAATCTTTGGCAATCAATGAGAACCTGTACGCAGTTGAATAACCCATATGGGAATCCTGTCTATGGTGATCTGTTGATCAATTTCTAAGTGGTTTCATCAGAGATTTTGATATTTCTATCCACTTTCATTGATGGGACTTTCATTTCATGATGCCTGCCTTGTTTACCCTATGTAAGTGAATAAATAAATAGGCGAATAAGTAAATCATTAGCATTTCAGGTATGAGGTGCTCACAGTGTGCACAGTCTGATTTGAAGTCCCAAGATGCTGACTGTGAACGACAAGTAGCCGTGAAATGCCATGATCCTGATGCTGTCTGCTTTACGAGGCAAATCATTCTCAGTGAAGGTACGTAACTTTTGCTTTCATACCGAAATTGGACGATTTTCTTCTCTTTAACGAATTACTCACGATCATACCAATGCAGAATTTTTTCCTGTCGATCAGCGCTAGTTTTCTGGTTAGGGGATGTAATTAAATTTGAGAATTTAGTGTTAAACATGATCTTGCGAGTTACTTGTATAGAGAAACGGCGCCTTTGTTCGCTGCGCTATCCTTGCCTTCGTTTATGCACAAGGTTCAATTTGCGTTTTGAAAAGCACCGTTAAAGATAAATAAGAAGTGAATAAATAAATGAAAAGTGATTGGCTTGTGGATTTTCTGTTCATTCACATTTGTAGTAGACGTTTATCATGACTAAATTGACCACTATTTATGTTTTTATTGAATAACAGTTGACTTCTTTTGATTATATGATACTGTTATATTTAAATGTAAATAAAATTTTACACTATAGTTATTTCCATGCACTGTTATAACTTCAGTAGAATCTGTTTTGAACATCAAAAAAATCCTTGCAAGTCAAACCCCGCCTATCGCTGAAACTCCACCTCTTAGTGCACCTGAAATAACGCCTTTCTTAAATTCTAACGCTCTTTCTTAAATTCAGGCAAAACCGCTGTCGAAAAATTATGTGCATCATGGCAGGCAGTGAAGGAGGAGTTCCCTACGGCAGCTTTAGATGCTTGTGGAGAAGCGAGTGATGGCAGAGTACGATTCTGTACCTGCACCACGAACGAATGTAATTCGATGGCGATTTCTCTACAGGTATTTGAGCGCTTATAGTTTCAGCGATATTCGCCCTTGCAGCAGCCTTGTACCTTTCAAAAATGGCAGATTTTTCCAGATCGCCAAAGATTTTCCTACGGAGCCATTGCCACCGTTTGTGCAAACGCATCCAACTGGACCGTTACCTCATTTGGCTGGTCCTGAACTACCAATTAT